GCTTTAGAGTATTTATACATTAATGTGTATCACCTGTGCTTCGCCTCTTGGTAGCCTGTGTATCACGTCTGCATTTTACCTGTATGCTGTCTGCAGACATCACACCTATATTTCACCTCTATGTACAGACCTGTGCATCGCCTCTTGGTAGCCTGTACATCACACCTGTATTTTACCTGTATGCTATCTACAGATCTGTCCACTGTACATCTGTATGTTACCTGTATGCTATCTCGCAGATCTGTGCATCGCCTCTTGGTAGCCTGTACATCACACCTGTATGTTACCTGTATGCTATCTGCAGATCTGTGCATCGCCTCTTGGTAGCCTGTACATCACACCTGTATTTTACCTGTATGCTATCTACAGATCTGTCCATCGCCTCTTGGTAGCCTGTACATCACACCTGTATGTTACCTGTATGCTATCTACAGATCTGTCCATCGCCTCTTGGTAGCCTGTACATCACACCTGTATGTTACCTGTATGCTATCTACAGATCTGTGCATCGCCTCTTGGTAGCCTGTACATCACACCTGTATGTTACCTGTATGCTATCTACAGATCTGTCCATCGCCTCTTGGTAGCCTGTACATCACACCTGTATGTTACCTGTATGCTATCTACAGATCTGTGCATCGCCTCTTGGTAGCCTGTACATCACACCTGTATGTTACCTGTATGCTATCTACAGATCTGTGCATCGCCTCTTGGTAGCCTGTACATCACACCTGTATGTTACCTGTATGCTATCTACAGATCTGTCCATCGCCTCTTGGTAGCCTGTACATCACACCTGTATGTTACCTGTATGCTATCTACAGATCTGTGCATCGCCTCTTGGTAGCCTGTACATCACACCTGTATGTTACCTGTATGCTGTCTACAGATCTGTCCATCGCCTCTTGGTAGCCTGTACATCACACCTGTATGTTACCTGTATGCTGTCTGCAGATCTGTGCATCGCCTCTTGGTAGCCTGTACATCACACCTGTATGTTACCTGTATGCTATCTACAGATCTGTCCATCGCCTCTTGGTAGCCTGTACATCACACCTGTATGTTAGCCTGTACATCACCCCTGTATGTTACCTGTATGCTGTCTACAGATCTGTGCATCGCCTCTTGGTAGCCTGTACATCACACCTGTATGTTACCTGTATGCTATCTACAGATCTGTCCATCGCCTCTTGGTAGCCTGTACATCACACCTGTATGTTACCTGTATGCTATCTACAGATCTGTGCATCGCCTCTTGGTAGCCTGTACATCACACCTGTATGTTACCTGTATGCTATCTACAGATCTGTGCATCGCCTCTTGGTAGCCTGTACATCACACCTGTATGTTACCTGTATGCTATCTACAGATCTGTCCATCGCCTCTTGGTAGCCTGTACATCACACCTGTATGTTACCTGTATGCTATCTACAGATCTGTGCATCGCCTCTTGGTAGCCTGTACATCACACCTGTATGTTACCTGTATGCTATCTACAGATCTGTGCATCGCCTCTTGGTAGCCTGTACATCACACCTGTATTTTACCTGTATGCTATCTACAGATCTGTCCATCGACTCTTGGTAGCCTGTACATCACACCTGTATGTTACCTGTATGCTATCTACAGATCTGTCCATCGCCTCTTGGTAGCCTGTACATCACACCTGTATGTTACCTGTATGCTATCTGCAGATCTGTCCATCGCCTCTTGGTAGCCTGTACATCACACCTGTATTTTACCTGTATGCTATCTACAGATCTGTCCATCGCCTCTTGGTAGCCTGTACATCACACCTGTATGTTACCTGTATGCTATCTACAGATCTGTGCATCGCCTCTTGGTAGCCTGTACATCACACCTGTATGTTACCTGTATGCTATCTACAGATCTGTGCATCGCCTCTTGGTAGCCTGTACATCACACCTGTATGTTACCTGTATGCTATCTACAGATCTGTGCATCGCCTCTTGTAGCCTGTACATCACACCTGTATGTTACCTGTATGCTATCTACCAGATCTGTCCATCGCCTCTTGGTAGCCTGTACATCACACCTGTATGTTACCTGTATGCTATCTACAGATCTGTGCATCGCCTCTTGGTAGCCTGTACATCACACCTGTATGTTACCTGTATGCTATCTACAGATCTGTCCATCGCCTCTTGGTAGCCTGTACATCACACCTGTATGTTACCTGTATGCTATCTACAGATCTGTCCATCGACTCTTGGTAGCCTGTACATCACACCTGTATGTTACCTGTATGCTATCTACAGATCTGTCCATCGCCTCTTGGTAGCCTGTACATCACACCTGTATGTTACCTGTATGCTATCTACAGATCTGTCCATCGCCTCTTGGTAGCCTGTACATCACACCTGTATGTTACCTGTATGCTATCTACAGATCTGTCCATCGCCTCTTGGTAGCCTGTACATCACACCTGTATGTTACCTGTATGCTATCTACAGATCTGTCCATCGCCTCTTGGTAGCCTGTACATCACACCTGTATTTTACCTGTATGCTATCTACAGATCTGTCCATCGCCTCTTGGTAGCCTGTACATCACACCTGTATGTTACCTGTATGCTATCTACAGATCTGTGCATCGCCTCTTGGTAGCCTGTACATCACACCTGTATGTTACCTGTATGCTATCTACATCGCCTCTCTGGATCTGTGCATCGCCTCTTGGTAGCCTGTACATCACACCTGTATGTTACCTGTATGCTATCTGCAGATCTGTCCATCGCCTCTTGGTAGCCTGTACATCACACCTGTATGTTACCTGTATGCTATCTACAGATCTGTGCATCGCCTCTTGGTAGCCTGTACATCACACCTGTATGTTACCTGTATGCTATCTACAGATCTGTCCATCGCCTCTTGGTAGCCTGTACATCACACCTGTATTTTACCTGTATGCTGTCTGCAAGCCTGTGCATTACCCTCACATAATATGTGCATTATCTGTGCATGTTAGCTGTGCAATCCCAATTATATCGTGGATAAACTACATTTTCCAAAACAAATCAACTTTACTCGTTTAAAGGTCAAAACTGATTTAATTCCGTCTGTATGGAGACACTGACGTATCACCAGACATCAGGATACCGCTCATAATATTACAGCCTGACCTATGAGGTTTGGTTTATTGGTATAGCGGGGACAATCAGGAAGCCTACAACGCTAGGCTTACTGCAATAATACCTCACGAGTTGTGTCCCCTTACCGGTTCCGCCTATCACGATTGAATGTTGACTGTGACATAAGCTTCCCTGTTGTACTCAGTCTAATGCTTGTTTGAACATATTTTATTCAGTGTTGAAATGGATTAGGCACAAGTTATGTAACTTATTACCGCCCGCTCCCATCAGAAACATGAACAATAATGATTGGACGTAATGGATCGACATAATAATATTGAGACATATTATTGATTAATTGAAGCGCTTACTTCGTACAATTTATTTATGCACATGTCTAAAGATATTTTCATTGATAGTATTTGGCAGAGCAGGGTTGCCGTAAAGAATGGTATCAATGTCTAACTGAACTTTTGATAGTTCAAAGTCTTTCTTCAGATCAAAACGGCAACTGACAAATTTTGGACATTTCAAGAAGAAATGGTTAGCATCTTCCACCGGAGCACCACAATTGCAAGCTCTGCTCTCTGATAGATTAACAGATACTTCCTTATTAACTCACAAAAAACTACGGAACCTAACTCAGATAGCATCTTAGGGTAGATCAAATAATACACATTAACCGGTGTAACATCTGATGTTAATGGAACATGTTGGGACTGCCTAAATTTCATACTAACTTTTAACATCATCTAGAAAGCACTGATCCCAGACCACCTGGTATTGGGAGATCAATGAATGGAAGCCCATAGAAGCAGGCACAGTCACCGAGTATTTGAAGTAAACTTTGATGAATGCTTCCCTTAACAACGTGCATCCAGTTAGTAATACACACCGAGAGAAAGAAGGAAGTTGAACTAAGTTGTCATAAAACCCAAAGTGCCCTATTAATCCAAATTCCCTGTATAAGTGGTCAATTGGACAATGCGTCCGACCTCGACTTTGAAGGTGCGTGGTTCGAATCCCACAACGGGATATAAACATTGTTTGACCGGTACGATAACAAACCCATATTATCTAACGACCATGTGATATGGGGTAATATTGGACGTCGTGAGTAGAGACCACATCCTCGCTCACGAGATACATGACCACAGAACAGGTTTAAAATGACCGGGCCAATGTCCTTTGCAATTATTTTGTAGTAGAATCATTTGATCACAAGGGACTTTGGGCGAGTTTGAAAACAATTCGCAACTTATTTTGTTTAGTATGTATTACAAAGCAAGAAAAAAAATTAACTTAATTACAGAGATAAGAGAGTACACTAGGCGTGTCGTTTTATACAGCGAAACTAACACGCTCCCATCTTCGGATTCCTAAAGGGGGTGTGGGGGTAGCCTAGTGGTTAAAGCATTTGCTTTATCACGACGAAGGCACGGGTTCGATTCTCCACATGGGTACAATGTGTAACCCACATCTGATGTCCTCCGCTGTGATATTGCTGTCTGCGGTCTGTGCATTGCCTCTAAAAAAGCAGCGTAAAACCATTCTCACTCATTTCGCGATTCCTAAGTTTTGACAGAACGCATCTTCAGTTAAAATATTTGGTGTAATTAAGCCAAACGCCTTTAAACATATTCAAAGTAAATTTTCTAATTCACTCACTCTCAACACTCTCACTCTCAAAATGCTTGTTTTACCCTTTCCATTGTTCAACAGAAACTCTGTGATGTTTTAAACATTGAATATTGCATCCATATTAACATTTAGATGTCCTGTTTGAAGAAAAACGTTGCGACGCTCACAAGATATGTAGAACATTTTGTATGCTGCAAGTGGACTCGATCTCCAGTTCAGTCATCTGGCTATGTTATGCCTTCAGAATAGAAATTGCAGATGGTAACTGGAGTTACCCCCCTTTGATTGCTTCCCTCTACGAGACATGTTCTGGATGTTAACATCAAATGGACTATCCACCTCAAGAGGAAACGTGGAACTACACGTGTTATTGAATGTCACAGGTATATATAAAGGTGAACAGCAAACGTGATATCAAAGCTGTATACTTAGAGGTTACCTTCTGCATGTTGGTGCAGTACAAATGTTGGCAGTTGGCTCCCAAACGTTCAAAACTATTTTCGGATATTTGAAATATGTGAGTATAGTTCTGTTTGCGTCATTTCATATATGTCCTACTTGTATTATACGGCCACTACAATTGAGTAAAAACACTTATAGTCAATTTAAGAACCTCTTTCAGAATCATCCGTCAGAGGACACCCTTACAGGTATATATGTCCTACCTTGGCCCAAACGGCAGACGAGTCCACTTTTCTAACAACCGGTTTGTGGTGTTGTTCCAGACCTGATTTTCGTCATATGGACAATGGCGTCAGACTTCTGACCCGAAATGTTCATTTCTGTGGTTTGAATCTCACTTTAAAAGTGAGAGAAAGTTATACGGCCACTAAATTTCAATTTTCAATTGATCATGCTCAAGAAAAAATCGATTGTCTGATATTTTATAACTGACAGCGGAAGGAAGGTATATAGTCACTGCCATTTGAATAGACAGGCAGGAATAATTTTAGTGTGATGCGTTCGGGAAACCCTTTCAGACAGAATGGGATCGGCCCTAGGGTACGATTCTGTACATTTACTTTGGCTAGGGTAGTGTATGCAGAAAGGTATGCATTTCTGTAGTACCTGTGCCAACAATTCAGCGTAAGTAAGGAACCAGAGTTTTGGAAGCCAACATTTTATGGTATTCTTGTATGTATTAGTAAGAGTTCCTCCCATTCCCCCATCCCAAATAATATTTATAAATTAATACATGTATATGCTAATATTATTAACAAAACTTAACACAACAATTACTAGAGAACTCACAAAAATGACTAAAAGTCCCAAATTTAAGTTAGGTTTAGGGTTATTGGTTTAGGGTTGGGGGAACGGAAGGAACTCTCCCCCTGTATTAGCAACTAGTGGAAGTTACTTAGTAAAGAATGTGTGAAGCCATTTCTTGTGTCCCCCGCCTTGATGTTGCTGGAGTATTGCTAAAAGCGGAGTAACACCATACTCACTCACTCACTACTTAGTAAAGATGGAGATGTAGGAAGGCGTTTCCTATTCTCGCGGTACTTACGGATATCGGCTGAAAAAATAACACAAACAATTCTTATCGTATTAATGCTTGTTGTTTTTAAATGAAGGGCCTTCGCCTCTAACACCTACATCTATCAGCTGCCAGATCCATCAGGTGAATTACCACTCGTGAGCCCGGTGATAAACAATGCCACCCGCCATTGATTAAACGAGGCTTCTCCCATTCTCGCGGTATTACCAGGAATTAACGTTATTGAGTGTATGTAAGAGCAATCCTGCGGAAAGGGTGGGGAAAAGTAATGATATGTCCAAGTTGGTATAAACTCCCCAATATTCGTGACACTGCAAGATTTTGATCACTCACAGACTTGGTCCACTTCCTAGTTACCAGTCGGTGATGTAAACAACCGCTAAGTGTCGCGCATCGGCGATTTCAGCAGAAAACGTGTTTACCGCGAGATAAGGAAACCCGCGAGAATAGGAGACGGACCTATACACATACGTGAGATGTTGCAGCTAGGCTATATGCTGATAAGGATCAGCGAGTGAGTGAGTTGGGATTTACACTGCTTTTGGCAATATTCCAGCAATATCACACCACATTGTCCCCATGTGGGGAATCGAACCCAGGTCTTCAACGTGATGAGCGAACGCCTTAACCACTAGGCTACCCCGCCGCTCCGACAAGGATCAGAGACCATGTACATATACTGGTATACGGTCTCTGCAAAGATCTATCAGAGACACACATCGTTAAGGTGATGCAGTGCATATACGACTTTAAACCAGTCTTGCCATGGGCTTTCTTCAGACTCAAATCTGCCTCACCTCAGAGAACAAGACATGACTGACTATATGACTGAATATATCATGGACAAACTAAGCTATTTTTGTGTGGACATGGAAAGTGGCACCAATTTTGTGCCTAGTGGTTAAAGTGTCTGTTATCATACCGAAGACCCAGGTTTGGTTCCCCATATGGGTACAGCGTGTAAAGTCCATTTTTCATGTTCCCCGCCGTGATATTGCTGGAATATTGCTAAAAGTGGCGTAAAAAAATACTCACTCACTCACTCTTAAGTGCTGCGAAATAATTTAAGTGAGGTAAACGTTTGAAGGATAACCAGAAAAGGCTTTTTTTAAAATAGGAAGTAATCTTTCATGTGATTTGAATAATTTTTCATATATCTATCAATCTTTGAGCTGTGTTTAATTGTTTTGTGTTCAAGGTCCACCATTTTCTTGATGTCGCGGCTACAAGATTTTTCTCAGTGGAAAGAGTTGCTGGAAGTGACATTCAAACGTAAACATGTGAAGAAATGGAGAGAGATGACTTTGGACATCCTGGTGGTAGACTCCGGCTTCAAACCGGGATTACTGTGGGATTATGGGAAACTGAATATAGAGAGCATGGAACAGTTACTCCAAAATGCAAAACAAAAATTCCTCCTTAAAAACACACTTTGTGTTGTTACTATAGAGATGGACTACATGATTCTTAATTTGGATTCATTAAGGGGAGATCACTCTGTGTCATGTTTAGACAACATGAAGGTAGTGGACGTTTCTTTTGAGTTACAGCAACCAGAAGCGATGGATGACAAATCAAGACTCCAAACAACCTACGAGGAATACAAACATATTATAGACGATAGAAAAAATGGGACTTGTTTGCTACAAAATATATTTAATCCATCGTCTTTGTTCGGACTTCTCCTAGGCTTTCCTGTGATCTACTGGTATTCTATGGAGGATGAAGCATCAGGGAACTGTCTCTCTTGTCAGCCTCTCACCGTCTACAGAGTTGTTGGCTGTTGCCATGACAATCTGAGGGAACAGCTCAAAATGACCTCCCATGTGGTGTACTCATTCAGTGTTCCGGTGTGTGTGTCAGGTACTTATTCCCAGTACATCACCCACTGGTTCCAGAGGCTGGTGGAGACTGGGAGGTGGTCGCAGTGGTTCGATGACATCAGACTGGAGGTAGACACGGTGACACAGCCAAGTGTATGTCTCTGAGGGAAAGGGTAGCCAAGTGGTTAAAGTGTCCGCTCGTTACGCCAAAGACCCAGATTCGATTCCAAACAAGCGGCTTAAAAGCATACTCACTCACTCACTCACTGAGGAATAAATAAGTTTATTATATAGGTAGTATTTTTCCTGTACCACGATTGGTCAAAAGACCGTCACATGATTGACTACAAAACACGATATTGACTTGAGTTTTCTGATAAATTACGATATTGACTTGGGTTACTAAAAATAGACAAGGAATCCCGTACGAAGGGGCTTCCCCTGCTTTTCAGCCAATCAAATCACTCGGATAGATGGCACAGTGTGTACATTAAAAGTTTATGTTAAAACCCGTTTCTCTTTCATTATATAATAAAACAATTATAGACTCTTGTAGAGGTCGATATCGGTTTTTATTGATTTATAATCGCTAGCTCGGTCGATATTGTTTTTTTCAGGTCAATAAAAATATCGACCTCTACAAGAGTCTATAATTGTATAATGTTACAGTGACAGTTAGTGTTTGTGTATTGACATGGTGGATTGGATGGTCACAATGGTAGACTATGGTAGCAAGAATGGGCATGAAGGTTGTTCAGTGATGTCAGGGGCTACAATTTACTTGCTGAACTTGTTGCAGCTGTGCATAGTGAGTTGTGGCCCTTACCAAGCCAGGATCTGCTGATTATGGGTTTGAATCTTAGAATCCTACTGATTGTGATCCTGTATCATTCTTAAGGGTTTAATCCCCAAAGTGGGAGATGTTTGCAACCTGCATCTCTCACTTTCCTCCAAAACTGAGGTGATTCTGAAATAACCGACTTACTGGTCAAAGTCTGTGTCACATTATTCCAGTCTCCCTGTATCAGGCTACTTGTGTCATCATATTCTGAAGGTGTAGTTTGATCTTCACACCATCCATCACTAGAATCTGCCCTGATTGCTGTACAGAGTATACATTCCTCTTGATCAGAGGTCCGGGTTAGAAGATTGATCTTCAGAAACACATGCTTGTCGTAAGAGGCGACTAACGGGATCAGGTGGTCAGGCTCGCTGACTTGGTTGACAAGTCATCGGTTCCAAGTTGAGCAGATCGTTGCTCATGCTTTTGATCACTGGATTGTCTGGTCCATTCTCGATTATTTACAGACTGCCGCCATATAGCTGGAATATTGTTGAGTGCGGCGTAAAACTAAACTCCTTTTGATCAGGTAGTTAGCCAAAATATAAGTAGAGGATTTACATATTTGTGGTTTCTTACACAAGTCTCTGACAGTGGTACTCAGATTTCCTTCTGACATATACTGAGAGAAACAAATAAAGGAACAGGAAAATTCAAGTGTTCCTTTAATATTTTCAGTTTTTATCACCAGCTTTGAACAGTGCTGTAGGAGGAAATCTGAGAATAAATAAAGGAACACTGCCATGAAGTTGTGTTCCCTTATTTGTTTTCCTCAGTATATTATATCACATGAAGGATACAGTGTTAATCTTAATATGTGTTATATTTTGGATTGGGCATCATGTGGCAATGGGTTAGACCAGTGGTTAAAGAGTTCCCTCGTCATGCCGAGTCACGCCGAGGCCCAGGTTCGATTCCCCACATTGGATCAATGAGTGAATCCCATTTCTGGTGTCCCCTGCCATGATATTGCTGGAATATTGCTAAAAGTGGCATAAAACCATACTCACTCACTCACTTATGTTTTGAGGGTTAATCTTCAGCATTTGTGGAAAGTTAATTTCTACCTTGAAATTATTCACTATATATGCATTAAAATATTTGACAGAAAAGTGTAAATTTTCTGAATCTGACTTCTTCTAATTTGAAGATTTGAACTGTTTTACTGTTGGTATTGGCTGCAGGCTGAACAGAAGACATTATTTGCAGAGTTCCCTCCCTTTGACCAGATTTTGTTAACTTGGCCTGTTTTGTCAGAGTGAGATGACAAACTGTCTGATAAAACTGTTGTCTTGTGTCATGTCAGACAACAACCACTCGCTATTCAAGACAGCTCTCTTGATACAGTAGTCTAATGTGGGTGAGGTGAGGTGAGGTGAGGTGAAATTGGGTTTAACGTTGTGCTTGAGAATATTTCGCTCACATGATGACGTGCATGCATGTGTATGTGTATGTGTGGCTGCTTGTACTAGCCCAGACTGAAGCTGGTTTTATAGTGCTAGCCCACTGAGATACCATGCCGCAGTGAAGCATGAATACCCCACTCAGACACATTATACTGACTCCGAGCCGACCAGTCCTTGTTGTGCCCATTAATGCCGAGCGCCAGACAGGGACCAACAAGTACCATATTTTAACATCTTTTGGTATGACGCAGTCGGGGATCGAACCCGCGACCTTCCGCTCTCGGGGATGCTCTAACCACTACACAACGGAGGCGGTCTAGTCTAATGTAGACTAATGTCTTTTATCAAAGGTGTTGTAACTGTCATCAGAAAGCAAATACAAGCATCAGCATTAAAGATGTCGCAGTGAGCAGGCCTACTCACTCACTCTGTATTTGCTCAGAACTCATTCATCAGAATTTGTCCTTATAAAAATTCGTCATTTTTGGGCATACTGTGGTTTGTATGAGGTGAGGTGGGTTTTTCTTCAGAAAAGCTTGGTTAGGTAAAAATATGATAAAGAGATCTGCATATCTCTATGCATGAAGTTGATGTGTTTGGTTGGGATAGTTTCGCTCTGTCTGTTCTGTTCTATCTAATTCCTTTGATCAATGATCAAACTTGAAAAGTCAACTTTTGTTTGTTGTTTCCTGGGTTGTCTACCTAGGAGCACTGACTGACTGACTGACTGACTGACTGAGTGAGGAGTTTGGTTTACGCCGCTTTTAGCAATATTCCAGCAACATCACGACAGGGGGACACCAGAAATGGGCTTCACACAATGTACCCTTGTGGGGAATCGAACCCGGGTCTTCAGCGTGACGAGCGAACGCTGTAACCATTAGGCTACCCCACCGGCCCATCTCGGAGGACATTCAGTAACATGAGGTGCTCCAGTGTAAATGATGCCTCTAGAGAGGTCGCTGCACAATTCTTTCATAGTTTCCTTTTATTCCATCTTCCCAGCTGCCATTTTGACCATCAGAAATAGTGTCACCATTGAAATTATACATCGCTTTTTCGTTATCGTAATCTGATTGGACGACAATTCCAGGCAGTTCTGGACTCTCATGGGGGCCATAGAAGATATTGAGAACATATGACCTTCACCTTAAGTTTGATTAATTGATTGTTTCAGTTGAAATTGAAATGTCTTTTGTGCACCATAGAAGATATTGAGAACATATCACCTTCACCTTAATGTTTGATTGTTTCAGTCAATGACAATGTCTTGTATCAAGTTTGAACAATTCACTAGTATACGGTTTGTTGATTATTTTTATAATACATGATGTATGCATCTGAAAAACACTTCTGTGTTCATTTGTTTGTGTGTGTGTGTCTGTCTGTCTGTGCACTATAGTAATATAAAAAGACTCATGTGTTCTTTTGAGTTTAGTATCTTGTCAAACTATGACATCACAGTAAAATGAAGCCATGATGGACTGTTCAGGCTCCAGCATACATTACATCATTACGGCCACATTCAAGTGACTGAAACCAAGACATTTGTTTGTTTGTTGTTTAACGCCACACTCAGCAATATTCAAACTATATGTAAAGATCTGTAAATAATCGAGTCTGGACTAGACAATCCAGTGATCAACAGCATGAGCATTGATCTACGCTATAGGGATACGATGACGTGTCAACAGAGTGAAAATTGAAGTGAATGTGGTTTCACACGCTTTAAGCAATATTCCAATCATATCACAGCAGGGGACATCAGAAATGGGCTTCACACATTGTGTCAGAATCGAGCCCCTTTTGGTGGTTTGACGAGTGAATGCTTGAACCACTATGGCTACTCCGCGGCCTGTCTGATGCCAAGAATGGATCCATCAAACTGAAGATAGGGTGAATGAGACTCTGGATTGTGTTGTTTAATCCTATGTGAAAGGTGGTTGGGTGAGTGACAGTTGGGCACTGTGTCGTGTGAGTAGGAGCGGTGGACAGTGAGCCAAATACCCCACTGGGCTGCTAGCCCGTGGCTACTCAAAATCCAGTCGGGCCAGTAAATCTTCACAGTCACTTGCCCGACTGGCTAGTGAAATTTCATGGGGTCATTTTGTAAATACATTGTATATCACTCTCTCCAACTTATTAAGTTAAAATCATGCAAGATTATGGCCTGATATAAATGTTCATCATATTAGCAGCTTAATGATGAAACCCATGTCTACATTCAAATTTCAGGCTATTGAATTATGTTGTGGGTTGGCATAGCTAGCTAGAGTGGCTAGCAAAATTTGGAAACTATTTCACACACTGGTGGTGGGGTTGTTAAAGCATCCGGCTCGTCACACTGAAGACCTGGGTTTGATTCCCCACATGGGTACAATGTGAGAAGCCCATTTCTGGTGTCCCCGCCGTGAAATTGCTGGAATATTGCTAAAAGCGGCATGAAACCATACTTACTCACTCACTCTGATGGGAGTCCATCCTGGTCACTTGACTCACTAACGCAGGCAAGGTTGATCTTGTTACCATGAATTACATCACTGGGGCAAAACTGAGAAACATCTAGTTTTCTTGACAGGTATTTCCCCTTCATAACAATATGTTCTGATTCTTGTCAAACTGTAATGAACCTTGGCATGACCATGACGTCAGCAGGTGGTTGGGATCCACATCATCGGGTCATGTTACGTCATGCCAGATTCAGCAATATCACCAGTAACAGCAATATACCACAGTGACGTGGAATCAGATGTTAACTGGAACAACCAAACCAATGGTTGATAGCGTGACCAACCACCCATTCATAACAAACTAGTGGAATGTGAATGTTTGTTGTTTAATGCCGCACTCAGCAATATTCCAGCTGTATGTCTGTGATCTGTAAATAGTGGAGTCTGGCCCAGACTATCCAGTGATCGACATCAAGAGCATCGATCTATGTAATTTGGGAATGTGAATGAGAGGTTTTATGTTGTGTTAATTTAACATAATGCACCCTATATCTATGCTTGGCATCCTGGACTGCCACCTTGTGACCACTACCAAGGGGGCCTTGTGATAATCGGTTGCCTTGCAACGACTATCTGCCACATCAAGTGGGCAGAGTCCATGACAATGGTTGATCTTCGAATGTTATTTCCTCAAACCCAGGACATTCGCCTTGTGACTGTACCCCACCAAGTGGGTGTCATCCATCGACTGTACCCCACCAAGTGGGTGTCATCCATCAACTGTACCCCACCAAGTGGGTGTCATCCATCGACTGTACCCCACCAAGTGGGTGTCATCCATCAACTGTACTCCACCAAGTGGGTGTCATCCATCGACTGTGCCCCACCAAGTGGGTGTCATCCATCGACTGTACCCCCACCAAGTGGGTGGCATCCATCGACTGTAGTGGCGGTCATCCATCGACTGTACCCCACCAAGTGGGTGTCATCCATCGACTGTACCCCACCAAGTGGATGTCATCCATCGACTGTACCCCACCAAGTGGATGTCATCCATCGACTGTACCCCACCAAGTGGGTGTCATCCATCAACTGTGCCCCACCAAGTGGGTGTCATCCATCGCCCCACCAAGTGGGTGTCATCCATCAACTGTGCCCCACCAAGTGGATGTCACCCATCGACTGTACCCCACCAAGTGGGTGGCATCCATCGACTGTACCCCACCAAGTGGGTGTCATCCATCGACTCTACCCCACCAAGTGGGTGGCATCCATCGACTGTACCCCACCAAGTGGTGTCATCCATCGACTGTACCCCACCAAGTGGGTGGCATCCATCGACTGTACCCCACCAAGTGGGTGGCATCCATCACAACAGCTGATGGTTCCCTTGGAATCTAGTTCTCATCAAGTACAACAAAAGTGGAAGTAGTTTTCAGATGTACTCTTTATTTTGAACTATCATCTACACATAGATTGCGTCACAACTTACAACTGGTTGTACGAACATCTACATAACAATACAAGACCAAGCATCCACTAGAAGCCCAAAAAAAAATGGCTTGTTTGCCAAGTCTTCAAATCTGATATGTACACATCCACTGCAACGGGTCCTCGAACAGAATAAAAAACAGACTTAACAAATTAACTAACTCATTAAAATCAGTTCCTCTTGAGGTAGGACTAAACATGGCCACTTCTGTGTAGACTGCTACAACGAGACCTGCTTTCATCATTCCATAATCTCACTGACCAAGGTTAATCGGGCAAACGGGAGTTGTCTCCCTTTGACCAAACCAAACCCAAAGAACTTGGATTTCCCTGTGTTTAAATGAGAAATGTTTAAGCTATATCCGTATAGTTTCACAACTTCGAAGTCTCTCTCTCTCCCTCTCCTTGGGTTCAATAAGTATTACATGTTGCAGCAAACGTAACGTAATAAACTGTGTATAATATATACATACTCTCAAGCACCATATTCAAATAAATGCTATTTAACAGCAATGGGCAACAAAAGATGAGATCGGCATGAAGGGACATGGCTACTTTTCAGCATATACTGTGTGTAAAAAAGGATCGACTGGCGACAGGATTATAGACGACGTGTTTTGGAGAGTGAGTGAGAGAGGAATGAGGCAGGATGTTTCATTGGAACAGTCTACACAGTTTAGAATAATTCAATACACACCGGTAAAAAAACACATAAACCACCGTGCTGATGAAACATAAGTCTCTGTTGCCATGACATCGATCAACCTTTTAACTTGAACTATTCTGACAATTTTTAAAAAATCAATATCAAAACATTTCAAATGAAAACACTGATACGGGTTCAAGTTTTTCAAAGGATTTTTCAAACATTAAAGATGATAAGTAAAGATTAATTACCGAAACCATTTCCATCGTGAAAAGTGAAAAGGAGTATATTGCCATGACGACAGACTACGAATGTTAGCATCAACAGGGGCATCAAACAATAAGACCTATAACAAAGGCTCTCAAAACTAAACAACTAAATAAATTCTAAAATAACTTGAGACAATATGGAATGAACTAGCTTCCTGTCCAAATACTCGGAGACAGAACAACGCGGCAACGGCAGCAGCAGCGGCAGTAGAACTGATCGGAACTCAAAATCTATGAAGACAAACAGACAGTGGAGTGAGCCGCATCCAACACTCATGGCGAAAAGTACAACCCTGGAGATGACGGCAGGACTAAACAAGTGCGCGATCATTAAGTAGATACAATCGAGGCAATATCGTGGGAATACAAGCGTGTCGACTCAATCAGTTTAGCTACAGTAACACAAAGACTAACAAGTCTCTTCACTATATACACATTACTATAGAACAGAACTGTGATAAAATACAACCTTAACTTGTACATTTCTCTAGCATAATTGCACACCATCAAATACAGAATTCTAAGGAACACATCACACTTAGCAGGAAGACATTTCGACAAAATATACACTCGGCAGTTTCTCGCTTTGTCATTGGTTGGATTGATGTTAGCAACGCTAACAACCACAGACAATGAGAGAAAATTGACCTCTTGTGGTTTTCTCGGGGCAACAGAACAAATACTACCATCTTGACAACAAATTAACAGCACTGAAGCTGCTGATAAAACAAATATTCATAACACTTGAATAGTTTTCTAGAAACAGTCCTGTGACTTGGCCAAACTTTTGATGTATGTTTACAATAATTACACATGATTTGAAAATTTATTGACTTTTTGATTCCATAATTAGATTTGAGTTTGAAGAAAGCATATACTGACCATGGTTAGTAATTGGTCAAATGTTAGCACAGCAGATTATAGAACTTGTAGTTGCCATAACAATACAAAATGTCGAAGCACTTTTGGTCTCATGTAAAATATGATTTCAAGCACTTGATGTAGGACTTGTGTCTTCCAAGTAAATTTGTAACAACCAATTTTCATATAGGAAAATATGTCCGAGGACTTGTGGCCTTTGTATGAACAGAGAAACTAGACACACACAACACGAGAACTTATGGCATTCTCTCACAACAATTTCTCCAATCACAACTAAGGGGAGGTAACTCCCACCTACAGACACACAGAAAAGACGATAGAATTTGAGATTCTAGACAATAAATGCACCTTTGGAAACAGTTGGTTTTTTGGCATCCATGCCATAAGTCAGGAGGGAAAAAAATGTCTAAATGCACACATAAATGGAAACATGATTGATTCAATATCAAAGGTTGTATCCTTAGAAAATAAATTTAATTCGCAGCAGTGGACAAGCCTTATACAAAGGGATCTATTACGAAAATAGACCTTAATACTAAATACAGGTTATTGCCATATAACAGCGTCCGGCGTCCGAGGGCGTCAGCACGACATGGAATAGACTTCTTGTCATCTCCAATCCTGGAAGAATCAGTCGACTCAACCGTCCGGGTTTAGACAAAGGTCAACAACAACACACGCACTTGGAAGAACTCTAGGCATTTTTCGGAAGTTCAAATCAACTCAGGTGCTCCACTTACGACACAGGTTTTGTCAAGAATATATTACATGTCAAACATGAAAATTCTCCGATGTAATTCTGTTTGCTTACGGCTTCAAACCACAGCATTGTGTCAACAATTTCTAAAAATATAGATTAATTTCAACAGGCTAGGTGATAAAAAGGAAATAGTTTTCAGTCAGTAGGATCAGCTGTAGTAGGTTTAGAAAATTTGCATGGAATATAAACAGCATCTTGTGACATGCATAATGATGGGGTCATAATGGAACAATAAAACAATCTCAAAAAAAGTAGATCATTAGCAGTATTGCTTTGAACATGTTGAGATTATTCAAAAGAATAACCTCCAACGAAGTAAAACAACATAATACATTTGGGAGACAGGTGTATATAACATGAAAACAGATTCAGTTTTTAGCTCCTTGTGTCAAAACCCGGACACACACATGCGTTCATAATAACATATCTCATATATTGCAGAAGAAAATATCAATATTCATTTACAGATTGCGTTATAATTTGCATACATTAGAAACAGTGCTTTTAGCCACAATGTTACAATCTTAAAGTATAATTCTCAGACAGACTTTGAGCCTAGTCTTGATGCCATACGAAGACCCTATGCTTTGCGAATCTGAACCTTGCCTGGTATCCAATCGGTTCACACAACCGACACAATGACCTTGCTACCAGCTCTGGGTACTGCATGAAACTCTCAACCTGACATCAAACATAATCCCCTATCACAAACCTTGTGTTTCAAATTCAACTGGTAACGGCTTCACCGAAACGACTTCTCATAAACTGGCCTGTCTCGTCTCCCATTTGATGGTCAGTTTCACACAATTTCGAATGGACAGAATGGACATACCCAAAGCTAGCTAAAGGATGTTTTCACAAGAGACATCGGAAAACAATTTGTTAAGTGACCCCGTTCGCGCCACGCTGGCCGACGAAGCAGTTTTCCGATGATGTTCAGACTGAGCAAAGTCTAGGGCCCGACTTGTTCCATCCGTTATATTCATCTCAGGAAACAAAACAATGAAACAATTTAAGGCATTCGAATTTTGGTGGGAATCAACATTTACATCATTTCAAAATATCTTTGACACAGAGAGTGCGACAATCATATTTGATTCGTGAACTGTAGACAGTAATATACTTGATCTAGAGAGGCGTGGGATCACACACATGCAACACACACACACTAACACACACATTACACCGTTCTGATGGGACACTGAGAACTCAAGTCAAATATAAACATGTCTTTGAGGAAATGAACTTAGGAATGTGTGACAAAAATGATATGATATCGACTCTAGCTGAATAGTACACAACAGACGTCAGCCCTTTGGTTACAATTAGGACGCCATTTTGCATTTCAATGTTTCCCATAATTCCCTGATTGAAATATTTGGCTGAATAGCTCGTCAGATACAGACAAAATAACTTCTGGAACATTTTCATATACTTACATACATATCTTTTCTTGCTTTCACACAATGTGTTTAATTTCAGCCAAAACTTATGTCTTATGTCTATTTTGTCAGAATTATGAATACAGGGTCTGAGAGATATACGAAACAAAAATGGCGTCTTCCTATTTAATACTTACAACAGCACAGTCAATAAAGTGACTCTTCACATACACTGTGAGGAATATCATGGAATATTTTCCATGTGAATAATACTACCTTAACAAAAGGGGGACAACTCTCGATATGAAGTATACAAAGGGGGACAACAACGTAGGTTGCATTTTAAAAGGGGGATAACTGCTTACTAATCAGAATGACTGAAACTGAGATGCAGTGATGAGTTGGTTGCCATGGTGACGGCGACCACGAAAAGACTAGATTGTTTTAACGAACACATGAACCGGTTTTGGTGGGAACAAATTGCACTACTCAGTCATCGGACAACTACATTTTGTTAACCTGGGTATCTCACAAAACAAAAACAAAAAAACCCTCAATTTGTAGACAAAAACAACCAACAATCATAGCAATGGCGTTGTATGTCAGACCTGGCCATTGTACGACATTGTCTAGAACTTGAGTCTGACGTGATCAAAAACATAAGGTATATGACTAAAACTTCAATACATCTTCAAATAAAAGACAGAATATACAAGAGAAACAAATAACAACTCTGTGATGACATATGAAATTGGCCACTGGTTGGTCACCATAGAAGAAGAAAGGCAAGTATTACATCAGCAGTAAATGCAAGTTGGAATTAAGTAACATTGTAGATAGGTAAAATATTCGGTGGTGTTACACACAAGAATGAACGTAGACATTCTTCATGCATTAAGTACATATTCTTCACATAAGTAGATTTGCTTTTACAGTGTAAAACGCTAAAACATTATCAAAAACACATGCAAAAAGACTTTACTAAATCGTAAAATATTGGCAATATTTGATATTTTCACAACAAACTGAATGATTTTCACTAAAGAGAAATGAGTATCAAGTTGGAAAAGGTATCTCATAACAAAATGTCAAATTGGGTGTAAGACCGTATATTTTAAAGCGATAGTTTGTATCGGTACCCTGTTGAGGAAGCAGAGATTCCACTGCATGATGGGAATGATAAAGATACATCCTGATGTGGGATGTGTGGGGAGCTTCCAAAACTCAGAATAACAACCTCACTGGATTTTGATTTCGGATGTCATGATTTGATGTTAACTATATTTGTTAGCTATGGATTCTGAGAAATGAGAATGATATTTTGATTGTTAGTTTCTCTTATATGGAAAAAAATAATGAAATAAATACTGACATGCACTGTTTCCACGTGACCAACCGTGATACCCTCAACAATAGATGACCAATGGGAGTAAGCACCGGTACGCTATTTGGGCCACCAAATAACATTGGGACAATCCATGACACAATACAAAGTATAACAAAATGACAGTGATGTACAACTGGGGTGGGAGGGGGCGGGGCAGGTGCGACTACGACTAGCACGACGGGATGATGAACAATAATAGAAGTCATGTGACCATCATGTGACTTGATTAGGATATATAGGTGGGATGTCATCAAAATATAATACTATGAATTCATTAAGCACTAAGTATGACAAACTGTCAACAAGGACCTTTGGCATAGTCGGCCTTTTCACGAACACGACGAGTAGACGACAACACACTATGAGGAAATCTTTAAGGGACGCTGTCTAGTTAAAGCTATGTCCACATATCAAAATTTCAAAATAAGCACATTTCATTATCATCATTATCATCAGTAATCAAGTTAGACTGCTCTCGGCAGTATTACCTCAAGGCAGAGGGATTCTCACAACCCTGGTTGCTAGGTAACCGATAAACTGTTGTCAACTCCATGGAAACCTCAGCACAGATAGGGCCCCTTTCCTAGACGGAAGACATATAGGAGAAATATACACACAAGACCGATCAGGGGCACGAACACAGATTATAAAAATATAATTAACTTTGCTAGCAGTTTAAATAGGAAAATCTTACAGAGATTTTTCTCTAAGTTTGCAATGGGATATATCAGCTGCACCTCTCTGTTATTGCTTCAGCATAGGACAGAAAGTTCATCAAGTCAAGAAGAGACACTTCAACATTTCAACAAGGCTACTTCTACCACTGGTTCTACCGACGACAGGACGAGGTGACTACACTGACCTAGGATTCCTACCAAGCTAATCTCACAACCATTAAGTACACAGGGTTAGTTCCTGGGTATAAGGGCACAAAGTATCCACATCTGGGGGGGGGAGGGGAGAGGGGAGGAGGGAAGATTACAATGCTGGCCTCACCCCTACCACAATTAGAAATATACATCATGATTCATATATAGAATAAATGGATTTTGGATTCCAACATTTACAACTTTGGTTTTGTGCAAGGTCAAATGGAATGCTTCAAGCATCTAGTATGGTTCTGAATTCTGATTGGATGACAAACAGGAATGCCTCGCTCTGGTTGGATGAAGAAAACAATGATGATGATTTGGATTGGTGAATAACAGTTGTCATGGCAACAAGTAGTTTGACAAACCTTGGTCGGCCTAAAAGCCAAGAAACAAAGGAATGGATATGTTTATGTCCAAAATATCTCTAATACTCTGGCACTATCAAAATACTCAATCTTGGTCCAAGTCTTGTGACAGGAATGTGTGTTCAAAACCAAACACACACAATATATATATAATATATATATATATATAGATGACACAATGAGATATATACTGAGATTATTACACGTTTGAGATATGGCTGTTGGATATGTGTGTCGCTGAGGCAAACAGTGTGTTCAGCGAGCGATGAGGCTGTTTGGTAGCTACGTCTGATGTGGTGTAAGTACCCAGATGGTATTGCACTGTCTCCAATAGGAGAACCTCATGCACCAAGGTCAAAGCACATCAAAACCAATGTGCTCTTTGGAGACAGTTTTCAGTAAAATATTCAGCACTTGATTTGATCTTTAGCGAAAGTCCAAAAATACCAAGATGTCCTTTAATCCTGGAGTCCGACTTGCACCAGCCCAGAAATGAGTCAGAAAGGAACAAGAGACTGCTAATGCTTGACCTTGAACGGTAGCTCCATGCCAATCTGGGGATCAAACAGAGTCTAAACCATCAGCAAGTCTATCAGGTCATTGCAGATTGAGTATGGCATCTGAACTTCAGGGTCCATACCATCCATCCATATCTCCCAGTCTAGAACTACTCTGCCATATCCTCCTCGTGAGTGTTGCTCTCGATGACGTCCTGCAACAATTCGTCCACAGAGTCGCTGTCTGCACTGATTCCCTTCTCCTCAAAATTCAAATTCGGGACCAGGATGCTCAACATGCGTACGACGTTCAGACGCAGCATTCGCAGTTTAGCGCCATGCATGCAGTTGCTGCAAGTGGCCTTATCATGGAAGCGGTTGTATTTATCGTGGATTGAGTTGAACATGTGCTCCTTCAAGCTTGTCTTCTTGCTAAGGTCGATGGCTCCGCAGGATTCTTCCAGAAGGTTGTTGATCTGTGACGGGGTGCTGGTGGGGAATGCCGGGGTCGAGGGGTGACTGGTGGGCAAATGGCCATTCCCCGGGGTCTGGGGCAGCGAGCCCGGGCTGCGGTTGTGTGGCAGATCTGCGTAGTGCGGGGAAGCATGCCCATTGACTGAGATGTGTGGACTAGACTTGTTAATGGGAAGAGGCTGAGATACCATATTCTCTATAGCGCTCTTGGCTATTTCCATGGTTTTGGCAGCGAGATCTATGTTGGCTTGCTGGTTCATGTGGGGAGACATGATTGGAGGAGTGGGCATCTTGAACATGGGGGGACTCTGGGAGGACCTGGGTGGCCATGTAGCCCATGCCGCGAGGGGACCGTGTTCGCTTCTCTTTGATGTAGTAGGACATGATGCCATCATGTTTGTTGATGATGTGACTCTTGAGGCTGTGACTCTGACTGTATTGAACTCCACAGGCTCCGCAGATGTAGGGTCGTTCACCTGGGGAGAAAGACAAACAGATGAATAGACAGGTGAAAAGACAGGTATTAGTAAAAACAGACAGGTGACACATAGGTAAAGCAGACAGATGACACACATGTAAAGCAGACAGGTGACACATGGGTAAAGCAGACAGGAGGCACATAGGTAATGCAGACAGGTGACACATAGGTAAAGCAGACAGGTGACACATAGGTAAAACAGACAGGTGACACATAGGTAAAGCAGACAGGAGGCACATAGGTAATGCAGACAGGTGACACATAGGTAAAGCAGACAGGAGGAACATAGGTAATGCAGACAGGTGACACATAGGTAAAGCAGACAGGTGACACATAGATAAAACAGACAGGTGACACATAGGTAAAACAGACAGGTGACACATAGGTAAAGCAGACAGGTGACACAGGTAAAAGCAGACAGGTGACACATAGGTAAAACAGACAGGTGACACATAGGTAAAACAGACAGGTGACATAGGTAAAGCAGACAGGTGACACATAGGTAAAACAGACAGGTGACACATAGGTAAAACAGACAGGTGACACATAGGTAAAACAGACAGGTGACACAGGTAAAGTAGACAGGTGACACATAGGTAAAGCAGACAGGAGGCACATAGGTAATGCAGACAGGTGACACATAGGTAAAGCAGAGTGAGTGAGTGAGTGAGTGAGTGAGTGAGTGAGTGAGCCTACTGGAATACTGTTCAAAGCCGCTTTTAACAAATCCATTCACTCATTCGCTGGATAAGGAACTAAAGTCTACAATTTCTTTCACTATCAGATATGAAAGCTCTGCAAGCACAGAAACCACAGATCAAGCAGAGAAAATGTCAATAATTAATGTTAATATTAATAATTCAATTTCCTAAATGTAGTGATATAAAATAAAACTTATCTCAAAGGGCATCCTTTTGTCTTAATATACTACTCCAAATAAGTAAAGACCGCTTAATACATTGAAATTAATACAGCTATTGCATGACTGAATAAACAGTAATATGAAAGAATCAGGTCTTCTTTCACTATTTTGAGTAGTATATATTCTCTGATCCCCAGATGATGCTCAACATGACTTCCAACAAAAGTACACCATTTCCTTAGGAATGTGTGGTGCAAATAAATACAACAAATATTCTACATCTATTTCAAACATGACTTGCTGCTGTCATATCCGAAACAGCGAGAAACTCAAACAACTCCTCATACAAACTTCACCTCTGTTTATCTTATACAATTAAGTTCAACTAACTTCTTCAAATAAGTACAAGCTTATTTCCATGAATCGTTTCTTTTAAATCCTGAAGATGCCACTTCGGTAAAACATCTGTAAAAGTTGACTAACTTTCGCGATAGCAAGGCAGGTCAAATAACAAAGAATGTAGGAAAAAAAATAAAAACAAGAAGTCAAATATTTCAATGTTTGTTTGCTCGGATATTTAAGAGAAAGTTGGAAAATAGGACAAAATAATTTACTTTTCACAGGTAGGTATGAGCCGGTGGTGGGGAAACATGCACGGTCCACAAACATGGCTGACAAACAGGAGCAATGAAGGGAATACCGACATGGTTGTCGGGGAAGATGAGGGGGGAAACTGCCGCATCAGCAGTTCATAAACAAACACAAAATATACAACTCAAATAATTACAGCAACTTTAAGATTAACGGAACAAGAATGTGTTTATTTGTAGTTTGAGACATAATTTAGAAGAGTCACCTGTGTATACTCATGTTAATAAAAAGCAAAACTAGCTTAGTGACACAAAATATTCCTTATATGGTCATAAAACCGAGCAAAAGACCATCCAAATTTTGGAAGCACATAAAATTTAATATCCAAAATTAAAAATTCATCACTGCAATAATGTTATGAATTCCATGACTATAACAGAATTTATCTAATATCAGAACTGATCCCAAAATCAAGAAAGGCGGCCCAGTGGAAGCGGCCCAGTGGAAATGGTCAAGCTCAAATCCACTGGTTACAAGTTTTAATCCAAACACCATCCTGTGTTACAGAGTGAGTGAGTGAGTGAGTATTCGGTCTGCCTATTGTGTAACTCCACTTTACTCTAACCTATCACAGAAGGGGAAATCATAAAGGACATCATTGTTTTATGGTACAATCTATCTACCCAACAACACCAAACTCGACCAGCTAAATGAGACCTACCTGTATGTATTCTTAGATGAACATAGAGATTGCTCTGATGCTTTGTAGTATAGGGACAGTGGGTACACTTGAAGTACATGTCGTTCCCGTTCTCGGAGCGTGCTCGTCGAACAGGACCCTTGCCATGGTGAGTGTTCTCGATATGATTCTCCAGATTCTTCTGGCGTCGAAATGTTCTCTCACAGAACTGGCACTTTAAATAGTCCTTCTCCACCTCAGCAGCTAATTTGGTTTCGAATGGAAGATACTTTCTGGCCAAGCTATGATCCATGGGACTTGGTGGGAATGGAAAGAGGGGCAGACCGTTGAAGGACCCGTGGAACCAGTTGTTTATTTTGGAAGCTGCATACACGTGTGGGGAATAAGCAGTTTCACTGATATTGGAAGCCATGGGCATAGTGGAAGGCATGCCGCCTATGTTTCCAGGCGGGAGGGGTTGGTTTTCTTTCTGGTGCTCCAGATTGTCAATGACGTGGGGAGGAAGATGATGTTGCAGCCCATTTGGTGGCCGGTGATGTACGTCTTCACCATCCAGCTCGACAGAAGGAGTCTCCTGACAGACGCAGGGAGTGATCCCCATCCTTAACATCCATATCCTGGCAGCTCATATCTGTTGAGCCTCCATCAACCTCGTCCGCTCCCCCGCGAGCCATGTCGATTGTCAGCGAGCCGTTCATCATTTCCTCCTCACTGTCGTCACTGCAGTATGTCTCGGAAGTCTTCATGCGTCGGACAATGTCCTCTAATGTAGGTTTTCGCCTTGACCTCGGACGTTCGGGGCAACTCTCTATGGACTGAGGGCTGTTGCTGCATCCCGTCTCAAGGTCGGTAGTTGCAGGGTGCCCGACTTCGGGAGGGGACAAGGACGAGCTCTCCCCAGATTCGTCGGACTGTTGTAGGTTATTGCTTGTGGTGATGACATCGTCAGTGGATGGTTTGACCATGTTGCCGGTCATGTCTGCTGCCTCTTCTTGGAGCTGGTGGGATTCTGGGGATAGGGGCTGAGCTACAGCTGGCTCCGACTCGTGGCTGGAAGATTCCACAATCATCTTGCTGTTAGGTACGCTTCTGCTTTCTAAGACTGATGAGTGGTGCAAGGCAGAAGTGAGGGAGACGGAGGTGTGCTGGGCGACCGCGTTCAAGGACAGGCTATCGTGTGCAGTAAGCTTCTCACTGGTGGGCAGACAGGTCGCGGTCTCTATTTCCATCATTGTGAAGCGGAGGGTTGGTTATTGTGCATCAGAGACCTCTGAATCATTCTCCTGAAACAGACACATCATCATCAGTAAAGCAGGCAAGAATTATCAATATTTAAATCCTCACAATACAAGCACTACTCAATTACCAAAAGTATATTATTGGACATCAGAATTCAAAACAATGTTCTCCCTTGAACACACCAAGTGAGGAATGATTGCCTTGACTAATGGTCGATGGCATGAGCACTGACCCAGACCATCGGGAAAGGTGAGAAATGCTCTTGAATGACCACCAACAGCATCAGTGACACCTGTAATCAGCACTGATCTCCAGACTGACTCCATCACAACGTACGCCAACACATATAACCCACAAACCATCACATTTGACAACATAAAATACTTAATACAATACGTGCCACAAAGTCTATAAAAAAAATAACACAATTTAAACTGCACAAATACATTGCAGAAAAAGCTTCCACCTCGATACCATGTACGACATATTGAATGTACATCGACAGATTTCCGAAGCCAAGCCATATTTTGTGTTGCCACGGCCATCTGCCAGTTCTCAGCTACAAGACAAAAGTCGGCCCAAGACCAACACAACTGGAGATATAAATCTAGCAACCATCTACGGTAACCACAGCACCTATGGCATGGCTTCAATATGGTGATATAGATATGTGTCCCCACCCGCTACTGCTGTCGCTGCAGTCTGATTACAACACCAGCCTCATATCACGCCAGCGTACCATGATCGCTGTACCACAGCCAAGCACCCGACAAAGATGGACATTATCACTAACCAAATATACACAGCAATCAACCCACCAATCGATATTAACCGTTCACATTAATACTGTAATGACAGAGCTGCATTAAAAAGTAGAACTGAAAATTCTTACAAATATTCCCCATACTACGATCATGAAATATTGATAGGCATTTGAGATGATTTCCTGTTTAGATGATTACAATCTGTGATATTACAAGTTAAAGTCGATATATATGATGATATTATCTGACCATAAAGCTGGGACTCAGTAATCTATCAACCATCACAGAATTAAAACTTCAAACAAGGCAGATGCTACAATTACGTTATTTTATGCTACTTAAATGCAGAAACATAGCTGGCAGTTGAGAACAATTAAATATACATTACCCCAGGCTGATAAAGTCATCAACAGGATCTGTTTCAATGGCTACAGAGCTGATAAGACATGTCACACCTCCATCCAGTCATGGTGTATGTGACCACTCTAATAGTCTCCCCTTACTTCAAGCATATTGCCACTGATAAGTAACTCACTGCTTGGAAAACATTGTCATAGATCTCTCTCATATATTAATCGTTCTTCTCTTACAAAGCAGCTTGATTGTTTTTGTAATACGATGCTCATACTGTAGCATTAATATTATTTGAACTTTTCTTTTTTGCAGTAATATTTTGAGGCATGAAGGAATATTAAACGTATAATTCGCCAGTTTCACGTTATTGTTTTATATTGTGTGATGGATGATGAGAATTAATATGAGTATACTTCTCCGTTACTTTCCCATTTCAGGCAAAACACATTACAGAAACCAATATTTAAGAAACGACAAATGGTAAATAGATGGAATTTGAAATCCAAATTAAATGAAAGCTAGATCTGAAATAAAGTGTTCCCAAACAGATAATATTCCCAGGTGAAATATTCAAGAAAATGTCAAACCGATGTGAAAAAAAGGTTGGAGATTATACAGATGACATCGAGATGGATCTAGCCAGATCAAATTTCTGATAGATTTGATGAAGTATCGTTTCTTTCACTAACAAAACTGAAGTGTTTCTTTAAACTGTCAAATTATGATTTATCATGTTTGAGTAGTTATGCATACAGTTTTTCTTCTCACTAATTCTTTATCTATTTTTCTGGTCAGTTATAGTTTGACAGATCAGTTTAATTTGGGATCTGGTGAAAACCTCCATCACTGATCTTGATTGATAGATCAATAACAGTTGCAAACGACAACAAAATTCAACTTCACATGCTCGAAGAAAAATTCACAAATCCTGCGTTCTTATCAGGATACAGGGCAAGAGGGCTGGCATATTGGTTGAGACAAGTTGACAAGATTTCACTATCCACTCACCTAATCAATCAAAGTTTACAACCAGATAACTGGACAAATCAATACATGATAGGGGCAACTTGGCCTTTGTACAATCTATGTCACTCCGTCACACCTTTGCTAATGGAATAAAAAAAAGGAAAGCAGCAACAAGGGAGATAGATATAACTGTTTATCATACCTAAGACTCAACCATTAACGCTATCAGTTATATAATTAAATTACATACCATTGCAAATAAGTCTAACTATTTGAATTGTCACATGAATCTATTTGAGTACATTAATATTAAATCCAGTTTGAAATAAATATAAAAACATATTTTAGATGTTATATAAACTGGAAGAAAGTTCAATCAATCATTTAACCCACCAACACTAACCTGAATCAGAGCCAGTCAAGAGTTATCTCCCTTCCATTGTAAGAAATTTCACTCCAAGTCAACTTAATACGAGGATGAACTTTTTGCACTAAATTCACGTCAAGTCAACCATTTTTTTGCATTATGATCAAAGTTCTCTGTTCTAAACCTGTCATTACTTACTGCCACAATCTCTGAGGTCAGAAAAATGATCTCTACTACAAAGTCGGATTCAGCTATTTGTACAAAGCAAGAGTCTTGTAAAATTCTCTTCGGTCCGGCAAGCTCAGCGGATAAGCCCATACAATAAAACTAATAAGTACTGAAAGTTATCTACCAACCCACGTTCAGGCAAGTACTCAAGAATATTTACATAGATGCTAAATATGGTAAATTCCATGTTTTCCAATCATATGATCGGAATCTGTTTTATGACATCGACTTACAAACATGTCAGTTTCTGAAACCAAAGAAACTATTTTGAGATGCAAACATTTTCCCCTGAAAACAGGATCTTAGCTTTCAGAAGCATTTAAAGATGTTATACATTTAAGAATGACACTAAATACACTGTCCATGCAAGAGCCGTGATAAGCATTCGAATTACAAATGCATCTGCAAATGACACAATTTTTTCCTGTTTTTCGAAAATGACACCAGCAATGCCAATATTATAAAAGAAAGAAATACACCTAAAACTTCCAATTTCTTCAACAAAAACCGAGGCTCAAACATGTCCCAGCTACACTAACACATGGGATAACACGCACATTGTTCTGTTCCACGATTGAGCAGAACCAAATATTTTATCATATTCTATTCTATCCTCAGTGCAGGAATTAAAACGAGAAATTCCCTTTCCACTGTTTGAATGGTGCAGAGAAATAGGCCCTAATTAACTAAGATTATGTCAATCGACTCTGAAACGAATTAATCTTGACTAAGAAATTCTGCCAGCGCCTTTCCGGCTTTGATGCAAAAAGCATTTTAAATGAATCACTTAAAATGCAGGGTCCTGCGTAGATTTGCTAGTATTAAACAAAGGAAATGATTGCGAGGATGTGTCAGAAACACTTAGGATCAATACAGTTTTACATTCTCAGCGATCACGGACTGCCAGATTTCCCTATAGCTCAAATGCTCTGCGCTTACTTTAATCTTAATTCCAAAATGCATTGATATATGACGGTAATATCAACCGTGCTTGCAGGTCGGTCTCCAGGGGACTGTCTAAGCATATGCATGATATGTAGAGAAAACATTGTTTCATTTCACAAAAGATAAGTTACCAATCGTCAGAAGGTAGGGATCAGGCCAAGTCCTTTGTGTGGTGAGTAAACAAGGGCCATCTGTCAGACTCCGCAGCCAGCGAGGCCGGCCTCTGTTATCTTATCCCTGCCATTCAGTCCTGTATATCACGCTACACAATCAAACACTACACAAAGCCTCCCTTCCACAACCAATTTCCACAGAATCAAGGGAGGGGGGAGGGAGAGAGAGAGCCAGGGTGGTGATGTCATAGAATCAGAGCTAAGCTGTTTTCTTTTTCAGACAAAGCGATCATCGTTCGATTGGTCGGTCGCGTTCAGATTGCGATATACCCCCTTCTCAAAGGTCATCTATTCATTCTTATTCCGAGAGGCTGTGGTGAACAATAATAGCTTCAATCAATAGCACCATTAATAGATTTCGTCAAAGCCTGTGTTTGCCATCAGTAACGTGCCACTTCAAATCTGTCGTAGCGATCAGCAGGGCGCAGCCAGCTACCGTCCCAACGACCTCCCTGTCGACCCATCGTGCTGTCACTTACATGCAGGGTGCCATAATTAGTCCATTTCACAATGGCTTCTGTGATAGAGAAATCTACATCTAATTGAAGTCTGCATGTGTTGTTGCTAGTACACAAAGACCAACTAAACAATCAGTTTCAACCAAATGTTCACCTAATAAACTACCATCCACTTTGATAAAGCTCAACTGATATTACTTCTGATATGCACACCGACCAGGAGAACAGTTCATCACGATGATGCCATGGAAACAGTTCTTGCTATTCTGCATCAGTTCACTAACTGTACTTATCAGCAGTTTACTAATATTTCCATGTATGGCTCCTGTGAATTCAGTATCCAAGAACACTAAGTTCTTTGAAATATTTTTAAGGCTTTTCTTAATGGTTTGCTATTTCAAAAGTTTTCTCATGTTTTTCATTGCAAATTGAAAGTAAGATCAGCTTTTAATCTTTGCCTTGCACAGAATTCTGCCTGATTTCACGTAATTCATTACTCGAACAATAAATATTGCATGACTTACTTCAAAGAGACTAATGAATACATTAAGCATCAAAGCCTATCTCATAAAGATATAATTACGCAAACTTTTACTCCGGGCAAAATAGCTTGAATTTCACATCTTCAAAATCACAAATAATACCAAAGAAAACTTCAAATCTCGAAGGTTCAATTTAAAAAGGACATCTCAGCTGAACAAGAAACTGACTTAGGGAGCCAATCTTTGTGATTACATAAACAAACTGGCACAAAATTATCACCTGAACTGACATCCCAAGTTTTCATCT